TTTTTTTTTTTTTTTTTTTTTTTTTTTTTTTTTTTTCACATAGTTCAGCCTACAGAAGACAGTTACAAGTGGGAAGTTGTAGTTTTGAGGCAGAGGTGTGAATGATGGCATGAGCTCAGAGGGAGCATTCATGTCCTGTTGAGGCTGCCAGGCAGTATGTCTCCATACATCTCCATAGGTCTCTATTCTTCTGTTTGATTTGAGGGAGCAACATTTTTTTTTGTTGTTATTGTCTTTTTTTCTTTCCCTTTGGTAGATAATGGTCTTGGTGCAGCACCTGGTAGCAGCGGATCTCAGTGGGATCGAGGAGCAAATTTGAAAGATTATTATTCAAAGAAAGAAGAACAAGAAGTGCAAGCAGTAAGCCATCTGATTTTATTTTATTCTATTCTTTAGTTCTTAGATGTCTTTCACTCCCTCTAACTTGTTATTAGAGTTTATAATCAGGCTTGCAATTTTCATGAGATATTTTGCTCCTGGTTTTAACTTTAGTTTAATACATACCTACTGATTTTTAACAAAGCTAATTTAATTAAGATGAAAGGAAAAGAAATAATTCTGGATACTGTGAATATCAGATTATTTGAATAGAGATTTTATGGTGAAAACTGGAAAGTACCGAATACAGCATTTTCTGTAAAGAAATCTTAACCATTTTACAATATCTAGACAAGTTACTTCAAAAACTTGATTTAAGAATGTTTAAAATTGAAATCTAATAGAAACCAATATATGTTTCTTTTAATATTAGACTTTGGAGTCAGAAGAAGTGGACTTAAATGCTGGTCTTCATGGGAATTGGACCTTGGAAAATGCCAAGGCACGTCTGAACCAGTTTTTCCAAAAGGAGAAGATTCAGGGAGACTATAAATACACTCAAGTGGGGCCTGATCACAACAGGTCTGGGAGTTTCAGTGACCTTCTGTATATTAAGGGTTAGAGATATTTTTGGTAATAATGTCCAATCGCACTTATTTGTAGTGCTCTGGAAATCTGTGTGAAAAAGTGATATTCTTTACTAGGACCAACAACATTTGAAAAATGGTAATTGAAACTCTTGATTAGAGAAGGTGAAAACACATTCATTTCTGTCTTCATTTCAATGCCTCTTATGTGTTTTCTGTACTGTTTAATTCAGTTTCAGAGTTGTAACATCCCTAAATCTTGAAATGGGAGCAATGAGCATTGGTGCTGAGATTTGAATAATTCTGAACATTTTTTTMTCTAAAGTTTTCATGGATGTGTGGCTTTTATGACAATTGCTGTGACCTAGCTAACAACCRACACATGAATTTGAGTGGAGGGAGTGCTGAACTGCTTGCAGTGATTGTTTGTATAACTGCAATTTCCTCTGTACTATTTGAGTAAATCTTAAGTATGTTTACATTTGCTTAGCTGGGATTGTGCTTCAGGGACAGTTTATTTCTATTACAGTTAATGTTTTTCAGCAGAATCTTCTACTGGAGAACCTGAATTTGACAGAATCCAGGTGATCTTCCTGCAGGAGTTTTGAGGGTGTTAAATTTCACTTGAAACCAGCTGACTCCTTTTTGACTTGCTGCTTACACCCTGCTGATGGAGCAACAGAACTGAAAGTTTGCTTGTGCTTCTCCCAAATGAAAATAATCTGTAACAGATTGTGCATAAAGAACTGATGTTTTGCATATTTTACTCATATTTAGTCTTTAAAAATCAAAACTTAGAGACACTGTGTTTATTCTTGAATGCTTGTGAAATAATTATGGGCTGTGGTCAGAAATAATGGTATACTGCTGATGGACTTTTTTTAATACAAATTTTCTAAGTATTCTTTTCTAAGAAGGCAAGCGAATTTTCTTATTAGTCTTCTATGGGACACTTGCATTTTTGTGTCTGGGTCTTATAAATATTTAAAGCATTTAAAATGTATAGGTTGGTGTAAAATTTATGAATTCTTGTTTAATACATATCTTCTAGTCACTTCATCTCCATTTATATTTTCAAGCAAGGACATTTCTCTCCCTTCAAAGAACAATACAAAAATAGTTGATACAGTACTAGGAACTTAATACATGTTTGTTCCAGGTGTTATACTTGAGCACTACCTTTATTCTATAGTTTGCAGATTGTAGTTCTCTTTGATAGGTTTTCTGCAAGTAAGAGCGTTAAAATCCATATAT